TGAATGAGTGAATGAATGAATGAATGAATGAGTTTGCTTTGGCCCGTGATGTTCTCCATTAATGAGACAAGGGAAGGCTACATTTAGTGAGGAGAGGCCAAAATGAGACTCGATCGGGAATTGTCTCTAGGATAATTTAGTAATTGTCCCTAAAGCAGACGTGACCAGGTTACCTCTGTAATCTGGGGACAAGTTACATGATGACATTGACGATGGTGATGAAGATAATGATGGTGACGACGATGGCCATTTATTGAGACCCATATTCCAGGCACTGTGCCTGGTGTCACTGTCCCCATTGGACACACGGGGCAAATCGGTCTCAGAAAGATTGAATCATTTGCCCAAAGTCACAAAACTCCGTCCACCTCACGGAACTGTGCCGATAACCGGGGACCTTATTTTTATATTTATTCATCGTTCATTCACTCATGAAATAGTTATTGCACATCTATCTGCTACGCGACAGACATATCTTAGGCACCGAGGGGTGAACGAGAAACAGGCGGACATCCTCGCTTTGTGGAACTTACATCCTGGAGAGGGGCGACTCGAGAGGAACAGATAAATAAGTGAAAAATAGAGGCCGTTGGATGGAGAAGAACAGAAAAAAGCAATAGGCCGTGCGGGGAACGGGCGGGGGCGGGCCTGCCGTTTCAGAGAGGGCGGCCAGGGCAGGCCTTTCTCAGAAGGCGACGATTCGGCAAAGACCTGCAAGCAGCAGGGCAGCAAGTCGTGCAGATAGGCGTCTGGGAGGAGGGTGTTTTAGGCAGCAGGAGCAGTGAGTGCAAAGGCCCTGAGGTGGATAGGTGCCAGGGTGGCCGAAACCGAGTTGCCGAAGAGTAGTGAGAAATAAGATTAGAAGGAGTAACGGCAGAACCTTTGGGACCTCGTGGGCCATTGCAATGGTCAGAGAAGTTTGTCGGCGGGCCCCCGAGGATCTAGGAGAACGATGACCGTCCCAAAGTCCCTATGACCTATGAGCACGTCCATATGCTGTAAACGGCCCTGTGGGATAGGGGGAGGGTTCTTCTCGGAGGACTATTCCATGCCTGATCTAGAGCTTGGTCTAAAGGAGGATTTCTCCTCCTTGGCAATATTGACGTTTTGGCTGGATAATTCTTGTGGGGCTGTCTTGTCTTGTCCTGTGCATCGCAGGGTGTTTGGCAGCATCCCCAGCCTCTACCTACTAGCTGCACTCCGGTTTGACAACCAGATATGTCTCTAGACGTGGCCAATTGTCCCACATTGAGAACCATAGTCTCAAGAAAGGCAGACTCAGTCCCTGAGCTGGGAGCTAAGCTCTGTTCCTACACTCCCACCTCCCATAGCCATCGGCCCCTCCTCAGACCCGTGCTGGCTGCTCAGGAAAGGGGGCTCCTCTTCTAGTAGGTAAAAGGTTATCTACTTCAGACCCAGGCAAACATCGATCCATTAGCCATTAACACATCTACACACCAGGCAGGCAGGCAGAGAGACACAGCCTATTCTAATATGACTCTGGGTCCCATCTGCTTACCCCCAAACCCACACAGAGTCACACAATTGGCCCAGACTTGGGTTGGATGGCTTGAGGCTGGTCACCTGTGCCGGAGCTCTGCACACCGGGTCTCACTATGTAGGATCATCCTAAGGCGTAGGATCTATTAATATCCCCACTGTACCAATGAAGAAATTGAGGCACAGAGATGTTTTAAAAATATATCTTGCCTGGGCTGCACGTGCTATAAATCCCCATAACTGTTTTATGAGAAAACCTAAGGAATTCACACTCATCGAGTTCCCAGTATGTGCCTTCTAGGAAAAAGAAAACAAAACAAACAAATAGAATGCCTTTTCCCAGGCCAGCTTCCATTCGCTTCTTTCAGTCTTTATTAAAAGGTCCCCTCTCGCCTCCCTACTCAAACTCAGTCCCCCCGATGCTCCCAGCCTCTGGCTCTGCTTTTTTCTTTTTTTTTCCTTCTCCATAGCACTCAGCAGCTAACGTAGAATATATTCTACTTCTTTATTTGTTTGCTTCCTACCTTCTCCAAAGAGAGCAGAGATTTGTATCTGTTCGTTGTCAAGTTCCCAGTACCTAGAACAGAGCCTGGCACATGGCAAATGCTAAAAAAGTTTTGTTGGGTGAAAGGATGGATGGGTGGATGGATGGATGGATGGTGGATGGATGGTGGATGGATGGATGGTGGAGGGTGGGGGGGT